AAGAGCGTGACTGTGTCATGGCTGCCGCTAGCATTTCATTGCTGTCACAAGAGCAGGTTGTGCACTTGCCGCGTTCAGCTTTACCAGATCAAGCATTCCTTCTGTCTACTGTCCAGTGATTAAAAACATGGTACTCCAGTCATCACTAAAGAACTGCCGTCAGCTGTCCTGTATCCTCAGGACCCCAAAAGCTGGCTTCAGAAGCACAAGTGGAGGCCTCATTATCCAGTCTGTTTCTAATGATGTTTACCAAAATCTAGCTGTGGAGGACTGGATCCATGACCACATGAATTTAGAGAACCGACAGGTCCTTTTCCTTTGGAGAAATTCCCCTGCTGTGGTAATAGGGAGACATCAGAATCCCTGGCAGGAGTGCAACTTCGGGCTATTGAGGCAAAAAAATATAAAACTAGCCAGGAGAAGAAGTGGAGGAGGGACAGTTTACCATGACTTAGGCAATATCAATTTGACTTTCTTTACAACCAGAAAAAAATATGAACGAATGGAAAACCTGAAACTAGTTGTGAAGGCACTGAAAGCCTTGCGCCCCGAGTTAGATGTATGTGTCACTGACAGATACGACATCTTGCTAGATAGGCAATACAAAATCTCAGGTACTGCTGCAAAGCTGGGGAGGACAACTGCTTATCACCACTGTACCTTACTCTGTAACGCAGATAAGCTTGTTTTATCTTCTGTGCTAAAGAGTCCTTATAAAGGGCTAAAAAGCAATGCCACTCCTAGCGTGCCTGCCTCCGTGAAAAATCTCTTTGAGGAGGATCCTAGTTTAACTTGTGAGGTGCTCCTGGATGCCATTGCTGAAGAGTATGCTACGCAACACCACATAGATCATCGTATCACCTTGATAAATCCAGCTGATGAGACTGTGCTTCCTGGAATTGGCAATAAAACTAAGGAACTGCAAACCTGGGAATGGGTGTATGGAAAGACACCGAAGTTCAGCGTTAGCACTTGTTTTAACATGGCCTATAAAGATTCTGTTCTTGACGTTAAAGTCGATATGGATGTCAAGCACGGAAGGATTGAAGCCTGTAACGTACACCTGCCGGAGCACTGGCTGCCACCGGCACTGTGCAGTGAACTGGTGAAGAGCCTCACCGGCAGTAAGTTTTGCCCAAAGGAAACCACTACGCTAGCAACAGCATTACTAAGGGTGTGTCCACAAGATGACGAGTTGCACAGCAGGTGGAATCTGCTGTGTGAGAATATGATCATGTTAATGTGACTTGCATTTTGAAAATGTAAGCTAAATTTCTGCTGCTTTTTAAGTTAACTTATTGAAAGCAAAATTAAAACATTAATTTCTACAAGATTAATTTTTCTCATTTATTAGTCATTAAAGCTGTTTAATCTTGTGCTTTTGCTTAATATTACCTACTGGCAATTGGATTTCACACTGCCTGCACCCGAGGTTCCCAAACTGTAGGACGTAAGCCACTGGAATGGACTGCAGCCCTGTGTCACTCCGTGCTGACAGACGTCATCACTGCTTAAACCAGGGAAAATGGTGGTGGCATCCCAAACTGGCTCTGTAGCAGAAAATGGCTGACAGAGATGGGATGAGGTACGGGGAAAGCTGCCGCTGCGCTGCTGCTGCTGCCCTGGATGCCCCAGCCTGCGTCCCGCTCCTTGCAGGCAGTAGCTCCAAGGCCATGTCTCCGCCCGAGCTGTGTGGAGGGGGGCGGCCCCCTGCTTTCTGGTTGGAAGTCCTTTCTTGCAAAGTGCTGGTGACCCTCTGGCTCCGCTGTACAAGCGTGGCAGTGAGCTGAGCTCGCCGCTGCGTCGTGACTCCGTCCAGCAGCTCCACCCTGGATTTGGGCTTTTGTCCGTGCATGGGCAGAAGGGGCGTGGGGGTTACGTGATGGGGCAGGAGAGGCTAACTGGGAGGGAGGCCGTAGGTGCCTCCTTTGTACCTGCACCGCCTGGCACAGTGCTGGGAGTCGCTGCAGCCATAGGTACTGGTATCTGAGCTAAAAGTGGGAATACTTCTTCCACATTAGGAAATATGCTTGCAAATACAGATCTAGGAGAAACAGGTTCCTTATGTTACCACCTAGGAGAAAATTTGCTGATGAAAGGCAATAGTGAACGGAAAGTGACGGTCTTCATGTTAAATAAAAATAATGGCTCAGTATAAAGTAACATGATGAAAGAAAGGCTCAGGATGCATTTCAGTGTTGTTGCCGAATAAGCAGAATGCAATTTCGATCAGGTCAGAACAGAAGCAGTTTATTGCGGTAGCTGTAGGAGAGAACACAGCGCAGCAGTGACAGACTCTGCTGATGTGAACTCTGCCCAAATGAGGAAGTTACGGAGTTTATATACCTTTATGTTATACAACTCTTTCTTCACCAAACTGTCCTTGAATAGTAGAGTTAGTTAAATTTGAAGTGGGAGCTTCGTCAAGCAAAAAAGCCATAAATTTCATAGAATCATAGAATCGTTACGGTTGGAAAAGACCCTTAAGATCATCGAGTCCAACCGTTAACCTAGCACTGCCAGGTCCACCACTAAACCATGGCCCTAAGCACCACGTCTACCCTTCTTTTAAATACCTCCAGGGATGGGGACTCAACCACTTCCCTGGGCAGCCTGGTCCAGCGCCCCACCACACTTCCGATACAAGCCAGGATGCCATTGGCCCTCTTGGCCAC